CACGGGATGTGGACATAACCACTCCAGCCTCCGGAAGGCAGCTTTCTCCCCATTCCTCAGGAGGGGCTCCCAGTGTGAGCAGCCTTCCTCTGTGCCTCTGGCTTCCCAGGACAGGCTTGGATGAGTGGCCACCTGCTCACCAGAGCCAGAGAACCATCCAGGCCTCTATAGCAAGGGTGTCCAAACTTGGGAACTTTTAAGACTTGTGGACTTCAACTCCCAGAATTCCCCAGCCAGCATAACTTACTCTCTTGTAATCCCTTCCTCTGCAATCTCTCCATTTACATCAGAGGTCTACAAACTTGGGAACTTTTAAGACTTGTGGACGTCAACTCCCAGAATTCCCCAGCCAGCCATTGCTGGCTCTATCTAGATCAGTGTTTCTCAAGCTTGGCAACTTGAAGATGTCTGGACTTCAACTCCCAGAATTTCCCAGCCAGCATAACTTACTCTCTTGTAATCCCTTCCTCTGCTCCTTTTCTCCTAGATCAGGGGTGTTCAAAATTGGGAACTTTTAAGACTTGTGGACTTCAACTGCCAGAATTGTGGACTTCAACTGCCATGCATGGCTGGCTGGGGAATTCTGGCAGTTGAAGTCCACAGGTCTTAAAAGTTCCAAGTTTGTAGACCTCTGATCTAAATGGAGAGATTGCAGAGGAAGGGATTACAAGAGAGTAAGTTATGCTGGCTGGGAAATTCTGGCAGTTGAAGTCCACAAGTCTTAAAGTTCCCACCCTTTCCTAGATCCCTTTCCTAGACCTTGCCTTGAAACTGTTCAATAGCTAGGATTTATTTATTTGGAAAACATTCAGCCATCTGCCACAGTGACATTCACCAACCTGTTTACCAGATGGCACACTTAAAATGTAATCAAGGTGAGAAGCATTGCTAGGGAGAAGCAGGAGTACCAACACCATTTCTAAAATTCTTTAGGGAATTCTAACACACACACACACACAGAGAGAGAGAGAGAGAGTGTTGAATCATTGGGTCCCAGGAAAGCTGCCTGAGAATGCCAAGGGCCCAGATATCACTGCAGAAGCAACCAGCTGTTACTTGCTCTGGACAAGCCAGGTTCTCTGCCTCTCCTTGCCTGTTTCTTGGCAAATGTGGAGCGGAATGGCCTGTTCTGTCCAAGGAACTTGGAATAGGAAAAGAGAGGTGGGAATATGTTGGGAATCATATGGTTAGCAGCTTCCCAGAGTCTGGGGGAAGATGATTTTTCCATGGTCTGACCTGTTGGACAACTTCCTGTACTTAATTCAAGGGAGATACGGGCTGTTTCCCCACGTGATCTGCCCCCCCCCCTCCCGCGCACAAGCCTTTCAGTGCAGCTGAAAGCGCCTTCTGCTAGCAGAGAGTTTGGCTTTTGAGACTGGTCTGCTTTCCTTACCCACCTCCCCCCCACCCTCCCAACTGCTGCTCCGTGTTGCTGTCATGAGAGGCTGATCAGAGCACGCTGTCCTCTGCCCCGGGCACTGGAAACGGAGCCCTTGCCGTCTCCCGGAGCAGCAGGGCGGACGCAGCCTTTCTGTTTGTCCCTCTGAGCCGAGAGTGGCTGGATGGGGGCAGCTTTTAAGTAGTGGAAGGAAACAGCCGGAGGCGGTCAGCCGAGCTTGCAGAGGAGCTGCTCCCAGTCTCTTTCGTGCCTTTGTCCTGAAATCTGCCCAGCCTTGAGAGTGGCGTTTGCAAGCGGAGGACGGGAACTGGGTCTGCTCTTGGCGGGGGACCCGCTTGGTTCAGGGACCGCTGTGCAACCGGTGAGAGATGTGTGCTGATTAAGGTCAAATCAGACACACACATCCCCCACCCATGGCAAAAAAAGAGAAAATTTGGCCACGTAAAGGTTTGATATCAGTACGTACGACGGGAGCTTCAGGGGTGATGCAGAGCTAGAGCGCTCTTGGCTTCAGGCCTTCAGGGGGTCAGGCGGGAGCAGAGGGTGGGCTCTCTGCCCCTTTTCATCATCTGCGGTTAGAGAAGATCCTCTTCTTTTAATCCATTTATATTTCATCCCTCTGGTTGTGGCTTAGCTGCTTCAAAGAGGCCTGAGGAGAGGGTGCTGGGGGGTGAGGCCTGCAGTTTTGCCTCTTCACAGCCCCCCCCTCTCCCGCCTTCAAGACAACGATCGCAAGGCCTCTTCCCCAAGGGGGAGGCTCAAAAGGCTGCAGAGTCTGGGAGAGGAGAAGGCTCAGGATACGGGGAAATGCTCTTGGGAGCATAAATGAGCACAGGGCGTTTCCATGTGCTGATCGTTGTTCTTTTCATAGCATCTCCTGCACCATTGGTCAAGCCACATATGTGCCCACAGCACGGTGCGTGTTTATATTCAATGATTTTTAAATCCATTGTCCCTGAAGCTGAGTTAGTCCTCTCCTGTCATTTCTCCATTCTATATTGATACTTTGGAAAACTGGATCAATATTGGTCACGGCTCGGCTGCTGCCAGGGCGGAAAATTCACAAGCTGATCCATACCGATGCTTGGTGGGTGGCTGAGTCCTTGCCAACTGAGCAGCTCATGGTAAAATAAGTACAAACGTAACTTTGGGTAACTTTTCTAAGCCTGCAGGACTAATGGGGCCACAAAGAGAGTGGGAAGAAGGTGGAGTTTCCTGGCAGAAAGGTAGCATATAAGAAAGTGATTGAGAAGAATCGGACGGGGGCCTGTGAACAAAAAACCCCAACAAATGATTAAAAATGACTTTCAACTGCATAAACACACCGTAAAAGGAATATCTAGGATTGAAGGAATTAAATCAGGCATACTGTAATAAAATTAAATAAATTGACATTTGGAATAATCAATAACAACACTTCACACTTGGGCTCTGCTTTTAACTCCCATGTTTTTTTTTGCTTTCAGTGCTTCAGAGTTTCTAGCCAATACACGTAGAGGCCAAAAAGGAAGGACTGAATAAAAGTTCCTACCTAACAAAAGAGAAGTTTTTCTACTTTGTTTTTGCTGTTGAGTTTAGAGAAAGCCCGTTCTGTTTGTCTGGTTTAAACTTCCAGCAGAAGTTACGTGTTTCAATTTACTAACAAAGTTTAATGCTGAATTGGGGCTCCATTATTATCTCTTTTATTCATTAAACATGAAACTCATTCAACTGAACATTTAAAAATGCATCATAAATACCACTGACTGGTGCTGATGGTTGATATGGATTGCTGCCAGGGTCCTAGGTACCAACCAAGGATCTTAAAATATACGATGTTCCAAGCCGCACAGTTTTTTGCAGTTCTGCTGATGTTATGGCAGGAAACCTATGTGAGATTATGTGTTTCAATTTAATAACAATGTTTAATGCTGAATTGGGGTTCCATTATTATTATTATTATTATTATTATTATTATTATT